GCAACAAATGTTATGCATGACGAGGAAACAGCTCTTCTTTCAAGCGATCTAGGAAAAGATGATGATACGCAGTCTTGGCGTCGAAGATCAGGACGTCCACCTGCGCGTGCCGCCAGTGCTGCTGCGCAGACCCTTCTCGCTGCCGAGTTGGCTGCGAATGACGAGTCTTCGTTTTCTACTAAGAAACCCAGTCGCTCTCGTTCAAACACCAATGAGTCGCCAAATGCTCGCGTTTCAAAATCAAAGCGCAATGCGTCTATGAGTGCTTTCGGACCAGAAGAAGGTTCCGATGAATCCATGGCGCATTCTGAGAGTAAAGAGCTTGGACTCGAACTTTATGACGCAGAATATCATGGAGAATCTGCCAATCTGGAAGGATCCGAGTCGGAACACAAAGACGATGCTCCGGATGAAGAATTGGTGCTTAGCGATGCACTAGGAAGTGAGGATTCAAGAGGATCGCAGCGACTGCGGCCTATGAGAAGATCTACCAGAACGGTACGTAGAGTTTTGACCGTCTTTTGAGTCTGTATTTTTGCTGGCAAGAGAGTGAGAATTCAGTCATCGCGCCAGAGCTTTGGTGATGGACCTGACGGGATCGACACCCCACAGCGAAGTTCGCGATCACCTTCACATGAGGAACACTCAGTAGGCGAGGAGCCAGTATCCAGAGCAACAAGGTGAAATCGTCCCTTATTTAGTTCTGCATATTTTTTGGTAGCTAAGACCAGTTTTCGTTTAGATCTCACGGGAGAGCAAGTAGTTCATCCACCCAAAACGAGCGACAAATGAGGGAAAGGAAACAGACTGTTCTATATTCTCCCGTCGCGAAAACTTCTCCTGCACCACAAAGTCGAAGTGTAAAAAGAAAATCTTAGATTAATAAATATTGCATCTATCGTGGAAGTTGAGTGTTTTGACGGCGAGCACATGGGTTGTTGCATCTGAAAACGGGAGTACAATACCGCACATGATTTGTCAATAATGTCACTGAAGTGTACCGGAGTTCACCGAAATTCGCGTTCATCGCCATAGTGCAGAATGGACGAGTATTGAATCCGAGGGCAGTGCTCGATTGGGTCGGTTTGGATGCGGTAGATGTCGAATTCATAGATTTTAGGCTGCAGTAGATTACTTAGTATGCCGTGAATAAGCACAATGAGTAAACTACCGTAGCGAAAACCTAGAAAAATTAGTGCACCTGATTGCCTACAGTGTACCTGTCGTATCCGATTGAGCACTTTAGCAGCAAATGTGCCTCACGGATCTGAGTCGAACAGTGATTTTGGATTTGAAGCGTCACTTCAAACTAAGATTTGGCGATGCGACGCGAATTTAGGTGACTTCCGATGGTATTGGGCGACTTTGGAGTTATAAGCGGCAATGGAAGTTTAGTATTTCCGCCAGGCTCTAAAGAACGACAAAAGTTTTATGAATTGGGGACTTGACAAAAAGTCGCCACTTTTGCTTAGAATGTCTCTTAGGTAAGAATGCATGAATATTGGAAGCATTTTTAGTTTGCTTAAGCCATCTATCCACATCACAAAAACTGTAATTTGACACCACGTACTTACGCCAGCCTAGAATGTTCCTTGCATGTATCGGTATAGGAGTGGATTTTCGCTGCAGTCAAATGCCTCGGAAATGGCTCATTCTTCTCCGTATTCTACTCTGTTTCTAGTCTTGAGGTTCGATATCTCAAACGTCGCATAACGAGTGTGCAAAAGCCCTGTCACTTCTTATTTCTTGCATACATCGCCATTTGTTTGAATTTGAAATGGCTTGCCAACTTCATTCTCTACCAGAGAGGAGGTTTTATTTTTCGCCCGGCGCCAAATTATTGCAGTATAGAGTTTTTCCATAGTTCTCGGCATCCAATTTGACATCTCCTAAGCTGGAATCTCTACTTGAAGAGGTCACAACAATTTTTCAAAACCTGAAGCATAACACTATTGCACAGCATCAAACTAGCACATCTGCGGGTCGAATTTTTTTCA